AAATGCAAATTAATACATGTAATACACCATATTAAACAATGACAAAGAGCAAAACCATATGCTCATCTCCATAGATGTAGAAAAAGGTTTTGACAAAGTCTAGCCCCTTCAAGATAAAAACCCTACAGAAAATTAGAATAAATGATCTTTACCTCAATCTGATAAAACAGGGAGCTGGGGAGATGGCTCAGTAGAATAAGTACTTGCCTGGCAAGGGCCTGAGTTCAATCCCTGGTTCTGAAAAAAAAAAAAAAAAAAAACAACTTTCCCCAATCTGATAAAACCTGTCTATGATAAACCAATAGTCAACATCATACTAAAGGAACAAAAACTGAGGCTTTCCTTCTAAATTCAGGAATAAGAATTTCTACTGTCACCACTCTTACTCAGTATAGTTTTGGAGTAAGTAGACACGAGGAAGAACTAAAAGAAATAAGAACAGGAGAGGAAGAAGTTGAATTATCAGTTTTCACAGATGACATGATACTCTAGAGAAGACCCCAAGAATGTCACCAAAAGACTTCTAGATTTAATAAGCAAATTCAGTAGTATAACTGGGTACAAAGTCAACACTCAAAAATCAATAGCCTTTCTGTATACAAATAACAAATTGAAGGAGAAAACAGAGACATCACACCTTTTACAAAAGCTTCCCAAAATATGAAATACCTAGGAATGAATTTAACAAAAGAAAGACCTCTACGCTGTAAAATACAGTACTCTGAAAAAGGAGATTGTAGAGGATATCAGAAAATGGAGAGATATCCCTTGTTTTTGGGTAGGAAGAACTAATACAGTGAAAATGACCATACTTCCAAAATTGTTACAGATTTAATGCAATTCCAATCAAAATTCTAGCAGCTATCTCACAGAATTAGAGAAAGCAATTCTAAAATTCGTTTAGAACCAGAACACACCTAGAATAGGAAAGGCAATTCCGGGCAACAAAGACAAGGCAGGAGGCTTCACAATTCCTGACTTGAAATTATACTACGAAGCTACTATGATTAAAAACAAACAAGGGCTGGAGAGATGGCTCAGTGGTCTAAAGCACCTACTTAGAACAAGCTTAGCAAAGCATCAGGGAC